GGACAGCCTCAGCAATGGGTGGGGTGGGGGATATTTTTCCTTTCCCGACTAAATTTCAGAGCAAACTGAGGAATGTTTGCAAGTTCTGTGATTTTTTGCCCCTCTTTCTTCCTTTCTTAAAGTAGCCCCCTATGGGCTGGGCACCCTCAGCCACCTCCTTTCCCAGGAGAGCAGCCCCCACACCCAGGACAGTTTGTTAAATGCTTTGATGCTCATCACCAACACCAAGCAGCTCTGTCAAGCTCTGCCAAGCAGCTCTGTTCCCAGGAGCAGCAAGAGGAGGAAGAGGGAGTTACCAGGCTTTTCCTGCCGGTGCCATGGTGTGAGAGCCAGGGAGCACGGTGCAGCACCCAAGGACAAGGCACATGTGCTGGCCCCTGGCCACCCCTCACTCCGATGAGCAGGGGGAGATCTTCACAGCTGCCACCACACAGGACTTGTGGGTCATCTGCATGAGGCATTTGTACCTGAAACATTGGTTTTTCAGCAGCCATGAAAGTGTTCATGAATTTGTCCAACCCAGTTTTGGGCATGTTTGTCCTCTGCACCCCAGCCTGATGGCCCTTGTGGAGGGTCCCATCCCCAGTGACCCATCCACCAGGACAGGGGATCCCCCCACTCAAGGCTTGGCCTGTGACCCTGGGGGTTCATTCCCCAGGTGAGCACTAGATGGAGCATCTGACATCGCGAATACTCTTTTTTTAATCATAAAGGATAAATTGAAAAGCTAAATGAAAGCACAGATTAAGCTGTATCCAGCAGCCTTCGCATCCCTGCCTGCTCGCTGGACACGTGCTGCCTGTGCAGGGGGCAGGAGGGGACACTGCCTGGCCACGGCAATAGCTTTCTCCGGCAGGAATGCAAACCTACAGCAGCCACAGGTCCAGGCACACATGAGGGAGGTTGAGGATGCTTTGGGGAACACTGCTTTTCTCAAGGCCATCCAGCCCTGCCATGTTTCTCTTAATCTGTAGAGGCAATATGTACCCATAGCATCTCAGTTGTGAGCGTGCTCAAATTGGGGATGGCAAACATACAGGCTCTGTTGGTTTTGCTTTGAGAAGAGCAAAAGGTGTCTGACTGATATTCCTGGAAAGCCTGTGGGCGAGCACTGCATTTCCCAGAGCAATTACTGTGCCAGTGAGGATTACCAGTGATGTCTGTGCGTGATCAGCTCCTCCTAGCACCAGCAACTTTCCTAGAAAATGTTCCTGAAATATTCTGGAGCAGAGAGATCTCTGGTGAGGCAGAGATGGAGAGGAAGGGCCCCATTCCCAACAGGTTGGCATCACCAGGGGGTTACAATTGGCCCCAAAATGCTGCCAGGCGATGCAGCTACTGCTGAGCCACACCCCACAAGAGCCATCCAGGGCAGGGGGATCCTGCCCCAGGACCTCCATCCACTTTCAGCCCTCTGTGCCCTGCCTGCTTGTGCCAGACTTGTGAAGGTCCTGCAAGGTCCTCAAGGAGTGTGTGCAGCAGGCACACAGCTACCATAGCCCAGAAACCAGAGGAATCCAGAATCACTGCTCCTATTCCTCCTGCAAGTAGCCCGGCACAGGGCACTGCTCTGCAGTTACAGAAAGGTGAGACAGCAAGGGACAGAACTAAGAGCTCTCAGCCAGGAGAACTAAACTGCAGCCAGCAACACCACATTGTGCACTTCTGCTTTGCTTCAGCCCCCCTGAAACTGCTGCTGGCAGATGAATTGAAAAATTGGTGTCACCAGGTGACAAACCCCTTGTCCACAGCAAGCCAGCAGTACAGCATCCGTTGTCCTCTCTCAGGTCACTGGACATTTCCCTCTCAAACCCCAAAGCGGTCTCAAGTCCCTAATATAGTGGCAAACTCTTCTTGAGTGTAGTTCCGCCCTCTGCAGACCCCACCAGCCCATAGTGGGGTGTGCTGAGCCCTGAGGAGGTGCCCCTGTTGCCCTGCAAGCACAGAGGGTGTTGTTAACATAGACTACTTCACTCCAATGCTTGCACATGTGTGTGGGTGCACTGACACCCAAGTAACCCCAACAAACTCATTGGGATGTGCCCAGCCCAGCCAAGGGATGATGCTGTGACCCCCTCAGTGCCACTCACAGGCCAGGCTCATCTGGGTATAAAAAGCTCCTGGGGTCATTTTCCTAGTCACACTCTGTGGTGTGGGTAGGGCAGCTCAATGGGCACCCCCAGCACAGCAGGAACAGGCAGCGTTAGTTTACATTAATCCACAGATTAGGAAGGGCTAAGAAGCAAGGAAGCAAGCAGCATTGAAAACCAAGTTACTTTGGCCATCTCTGCATCTCCTGTAAAAGCTGGCATCCACTGCCTTCAGGTGATCACCAGCTGACAGCGTTTTCAACATGAAAAGAAGAAAACACCTCAGCTTGGCAAAGAGAGAAGTGGATGGGGCAAAAGGTTTGCGAGATGGTCCCATCTTCTCCCATAGCTTCATATGTGGCATAATTATTTACTGTTTCTCACAATACAAGAATAAACACGATCAATGGAAACGAAAATGCAGCAGGTTAAACCAGAAGGTTTATTCTGCCTGCTCATACACAGTGCATACTGTACAGCCCCCAGGGCCACCCATGGCCTCAGCTTCTCGAACCCCAGGGGTGGGGGAGGCTTCTCTGCTGCACACCTGCTCCAGAACCACAAACTTAACCCACTTAACTTAATGGGGGATTCGCCTGTCCCACTGCGAAACCGCACTGAGCAAGGGCAGTACCCAATCCTGACCCACACCCACCCAAACGATTTTCCCATCTGCGGAAACCAGGAGTTTAACAGCATTCGCTGTGCTAATACAAAAGGCCGCCAGGTTTATGGGGGCTTTTTGGACCTGTCAAGGAATACAGTAAAAATTAAGTTTATTTGGTGGTTGTTTAGCGTCATCAGCAAAATTACTAGTTAGCATCAGACTCCAATATCTTACCCATGGTTGAGCTGGGAAGACGTGGGGGCAATTTTCAGGTCCCAGCTCCCAGGCCTCCAGTATTGGTGGAAAAAATCCTGCTCTGAGATGCAAACACAGCAAATTTGGTAGTGGAGCTACTGGCTAAGCATGGATGTTAAGCCCTCAAAAGCTATTCCTACAGTCAGCCTGATCACAGCCACACTTTAATGTAAGCACATTGCAAAAATAGAGGGGCACTGACTGAAGATCTTGTCTCTTCCTCTTTTGGGAAATTGCAAACTTCCATTTCTTTAATCTAATCATTTGCAGGAGGAGATACCTTCTCTAGTAAAGCCAATATAAGAGGGCTGAAAGGTCAGATGGGATAATATGTAATCCATCGCGATAAGGGCTGTTTACAGAATTATTAATCAAACACAAAAGGGAACAGATAGTAACATTTTTTATTAAATATTACAGTGGATCAAAAAGTACAAAATATCTTTTGCCTGCTATGTGATTGGGAAACTATTGGCACATAATACAGTATCAAAAGCATTAATAAGTACAATTTGGAAAACATACAAAAATTGAGTGTTTATAGTTGGCTCAGCTTTATTTCTGGTAGTGTTTAAACTAACGCAAAGGTTACTCAATAACCTTTTAAATGGGAAACTATATAATATTACTGGGCCATTTTTGTATATACAAATCATCACCTTACAGAGCATATAGGCTACATAACTTGAATCACAAAAAGTATACAATATTTACAACAAAAGAAAGTTAAAAAAGTATAAACAGCTAGTAGATTATGCTGCCATTGTTAGAACATATTTAAAACTGCGGGGCTGGGGGGAGAGGGGAGAAGGAGGAGGAAGAGAACGAGTGAAATATCAACCACGTGTACAGCAAACACCGCCGGCAGCACCCACGGCAGCGCTGCCAATGCTGCCCGCCTCACACCAGCGCAGGCAGTCCCACTGCTCACCAAAATCACCAAATACCAGGTGTGACCTCACTGACTGCTGCAAAGTGAGAGAGCAGGCGAGGAGGGTGAGGGACCCCAGAGGTGTCTCTGGAGGTGGCAGCCCCACGTCCCCCCAAACGGGGCAAACCTGCTGGCAGAGGCAGCATAGCACTTGCCTCCTGCTCCAGTAGCTGCCAAGCCAATTCTCTGCAGCTGAGACAAATGACTCCCCAGGCACGGACCCACCCAGTGAGCTTCTCACACCAGGCCAGCTCACAGCTGCGATGGAACTGCTGCAAACCGCCAGCCTGCTCCCACTCAGCCTGGCCAGGGGTACGGATTGCACCAGGAATTGGGCCCTACTTTGCACACGCTTCATGAAGCTCGGCTTACAGCATGGCCAGAAGCTACACACAAGCTGTTTGTTGCTGGGCCTTTTCCTTTGGATCTCACAACCTTCAGCATCCCTAATGCATCCTGGACATAGTGCGTTTGAATTGCAACATTTCTTGGAACTGGGTACTAGTAAATAGATTTATGACTCTATTGCCAATTAGGTTCGGCAGTTTCCTTTACAAACCTACCAATAACAATGGTCTGATTGCACAAAGAAAGGCTTGTGCAATTTCATTCAATAATAAGGCCCCTTGAACTCAAACAATGCAAACAAAGCCCCATTTAAGACATCAAGGAAAAAAAAAAAGACTTTTCAGCCAATAGAGAATTCAACAGTCTGTTGAAAGATTTCCAAGATTTCTGTTAAGAGTTCTTAAACAAATAATGCACCGCTTCTGTTGGGGGTTTATGCTACCATTTCTTTTTCTTTGCCCTGACGTTTTGCCCAGTATATTATGAGCTTCCCCAGCCAACAGTGGCCAGACTCCTCGTGGGGCAAGCGAGGAGCCTTCCTCCCCTCTCCCTGTCCCCCAGCTCTGCGTTGCCTCAGCACGGCTCCAAAAAGGCTACCAGCAAACTCCAATGGGACATAACCAAAAGGGACACTGGACACTTTGCATAAACAAATGCACAACTCCAGGACACACAACTTAACCAAAACAAGGAGAAGCATTTGCTTTGCCAAACACACGACAAGGTTCTGTTTGCATTTGCTGTAGATTTTTATATTCTCTCCCCTTTCCCCCCGCCCTCCTCCCCCCCATCCCCAAACCCCTGATTCTTACGTGATTCAGATCTAGTGCAACTTTACTAGAGATGTCCTCCACACTGTGGCCTCTGCCTGGATGAGCCTGCAGTTCTGTTTCCTGTACGACTTCTGGAGCAGCAGGATGCTCTACACTGGCACATCCATGTTCTAAGTTCTACTAGTCTGTTTATCAATCAAATATAGTTTTACCACAGGAATATAAAGTATTTAATTGAAGAAGCTGGATTTTTAACAGTAGATTAGTATATTATTCTGGTTTCCACCTTTGGATATTATGTATGATACATTATATATTGTATTTGGCTTCATATCAAGGGAAAATTTAACGACATGCCTAGCATGCAAAGCGTTTCTTAGTAGTTCCCATTTTTCTTTTCGTATTGATTACGCTGTCTTTGAACAGTAACTGAGATGGTTTGAATCACAACCAATTTTCACATTGTATAAAGCCTCCAAGTCACACTTCACTTTACTGATGTCTGTGCTCAGCTGCGTGGTGGTGACGTCCCGCAGAGTGAATATACATCCATAGGAAGCTCTTTCATCAGGAAAACCCAGCTCCTCCATGCCCAGGCTTTCCCCCTGTGAAAGGATGCCCAGGGAGAGGCCGAGATCCTTGTGGGAGTGTGGAAGGACCACCCTGACCACTGCATGGAACCCCCTACCCATCCTACCAAGCCCAGCCTGCTTGTGAGGCACAGGACCCAACCCGTAAGCCTCTGATTCGAATCCGCACTGGCTCCTCTCACAATTTCTGAAATTCCCGACATTCTCGCAAATCACAAATCCGTTTTCTGCACTCCTTTGTCATCCAGAAGCTTGTGCCAGGGAGGTTTTGTTTCTCTGGTAGGCAGGAAGGTTTCACAGCCTAGGTAAGGTTAAGTACAATGCTTGACAAATTCACGGACCACGATACAGGAAAGCAAAGCTCAGTGGGAGGTGAGGAATGGCGTGGGAGCCATCGCAACAACGGGAGGAGGGCGAGAGGTGCTCAGCACCTCGCAGGGGTGGGCTGTGGGGAAAGGAACCTTTTTCTCATCCTTGCACCATAACATCACCTACAGTATGTTTATAACCATTAAGATTAATCTGAGCCAGTTGCTTCAGTTTGTAAACAGTAAATGTTACCACAAAAACGAAACAAAAACGCTGCTCAAAAGTATAAAGAAACTGGAAAAATTACAAACACATAATAAAAAAAAAAAATTAGGACAGCCACAGCCTTTAAAAAAGTTGTAGATAAAATGATACTGTTTAATTTAAAAAAAAAAAAGAACCCAAAACAAAAAAACAAACATAAAGAGTACAGAATATACTGGACAAACGAAACTATATAAATTATTGTGACCAAATGTGACACTGGTAGTTTACGAAGTGGATATGTACAGTCAAATAAAACAGTGTTTACCCTTCTGTTCTAATAGTGTTAAAATGAAAAAATCTATTGCCATTTTACTATACATTGCATTGATTGAATCTTTAAAAGTCAGGAAAAAGTTACCCCAAAAAGCACATCCACTGATTGTACAGATTCTCGGCCCGTTTCTCCTTTCCAGGTTCATCTCAAGTCCTTGACTCATTGGCAACAATGCACAGCCTCTGGTCCTTGGCTCAGTGAAAGGCAAATGCAGCCCTCACCAGGGTTTCAGTGAGCTCAGGACTGGGCATGTGTTTCCACGGCTCCCTTTGAACATCTGCTCTTACCATGTTCAAGTCCTTTCAGAAAACATATACGCAAAATTAAATGATTTTTTTCTTTCTTTTTTTTTTTTCCTGTTTTTCTTTTTTTTTTTTTTTTTTTTTTTTTGGTTTTCTTTTTTGTGGGGGCAGGGATAAGGGGTGGGGGGGCTGATGTGGGAGCCAGAATTAAAGAAGCAGTCCTGTCTCCATCAAAACTCCGAAGTGCTCCTCTTGGTGGGATATGACTGCATCCTGGTTGACAAAAATACAGATCGCTAAATCTGTGAGACATCATCGTCACAGGGGGAGGAATGTCTCTAACTGAACTTTTCTCCTCAGACCTCTTCTTGTGAGTGAGGGGGTTTACAGTTTTGTGCTGGGATGTACAGAGGATAGTTGGGAAGGTGGGAACGCAGCTTGAGGGTTTATAGCAGCTAAAGGATAAATGCTGTTATGCAAAAGGTCACCATAGGAACTTCCTACAGGTGTTGCTGCAGTTAAGTGTCTGTACAGTTGCTGGGAGTTTGCTGGGGATGTGAGGAATTGTCTCTGCACCATGAAGGAGTGAAGAGCCAAAGGCTGCATTAGTGGGGAGAGCACGGTCTGGTTTTTCAAGTACTGCAGGGGATGAGAATACCCGGGTGGGAGGCGATTGTTGAGCCCTGTGCACAGGCTTCCTGGATACAAACCTGGGAAGATGGGGGCTGAGAGGGGAAATTTGTGGCTTTCCAGCATGTTGCCAGAATGGAGGCCATGCACTGGCTTGCTGCCTTCCCCCTCTGGGTCAGGAACCTTGTCTTTCACTGGGGTCTCCTTTGGTAAGTGCAGAGGAGAGACAGCTCGGATTTTTTTTTCAGAAATGACTTTGTCCAAATCCTCCAGGCTCCGTTTCAAAGGCCGGGCAGCCCCCATGTTTTGTGGGCTCGTTCTGCGGCTGATGATAGGATGTACCATCCCCTCCATCTTCCTCAAGTTCTCCAGCCTCTGGGCCTGCTGCTTCCCAGACCTATGGAGCAACTCGCTGTGTTTTTTTGGGACTGTCATGGCCATGGGGGACACGCGGCAAGCTTTGGGGTTACAGTCTAGGCTCACTGCCTGGCTGCTCGCAGCCTGGAACCCGGAGATACCTTTGCACTCTTGCTGGGCCATGGATGAATGAGGGAGGCTGGAGCCTGGAGCCTTTGCAGTCTGTTTGTGTATGCTCTTTGGAAGACTCAAATCTGTTGGCTGATCATCTGAAGAGGCCTCCACCGCTGCCTTTTTTTCTTGCTGATGCAAAGATGGGCGATAATTTAAATTTAGTTTTTCCTGGTGTTTGTGTTGAGTAAAAGTAGAAATATTTTCAGACTCTCTGAACATGTCCCGGGGGAGGTACTTTGATGTCTGTTCATTATTAAGGTGGTGTTCTGTGTGCCTATAAAGGCTGTGTAGATGAGGTGATGAATAAAAATCTGCCAAGAAAGTGGGCACATGGGAGTGCTGCAGTGCCCTTTTCTCACTCATTTTATCTTTGCAGTCCTGGATATCTGACTTCGGTACGTATGACTCGGCAAGAGAACTGAGGTGATGTTTTGAAAAATCACAGCGCTGAGGATCTGGTTTACTTAGCATGTCATGTTTAAAAACATCATTAATTGATTTCCTTTCCTCCTTGGTTTTAAAACTCTGTACATGTTGTATGACTGAAGGCCTATTAATTGCTACAGGATCAGAATTAGGGGTACGGGGACCTTGTGATATGCCTGAGGACAGTTCATCTCTGCTGTTGAGTTTCTTTTTGCTGATCAAAGGCGGAGGAGAACCGTAAGGATAACTACACGACAGCGCTGCCCCGCTGACCTGTGACAGCAGCTTCTTCTTTGCCAGGGGTGACATGATGCCTGGATTACCCTTGGAGTACAGCAGTGGTGTGTAACCGAAAGTGGAGTCATCATTCATGGACCCAGGCAGTTCCTTTTCCTTGAACATGTCGAAGTTCTGCACCACCAGTACTTTGGGCGTTTGCTTTAGTGCATTGTGGATATCCTCGTTTCCCAGCTGGTCCACTTTCACCGTGCAGTTTGCGATGTAATCTGCCATCTCTGGCAATTTCTCGTCTTCCATGTCACTCTGAGTGGGCAGGTGGACTGGGAAAGCTGTGAAGGGCATTTCTGGAGGTTCGCTTTCCAAGCTGTCAGTAAAAGCTTTGTGTAGTCTTTGTTCAGGCTTTGTGTCTTCCGGGGCATCTGCTGGGGGGTGCAATCGCTTTGTGACAGTGGCATCCAGCACGGTGTCTTCTTCTGGGGGCACAGATATACTTGAGAAAGAGGAGGAGTGCTGAGCCTCCTCCTTGGCTTTCTCACTGTTGGTGCTGTTTTCTGCCAGGTCTGTCTTTTCCAGAGGCAGTGTTCGAGCTGTTTCTGGTAAAAGAGGTGGAGGGCCTTGCATGGGTTGTTTTGTCTCTCCCACTGCAGTGTGTTCGGGGAAGTTTTTCTGGTCTGTTGATTCTTGATCCTTCTCTTGTTCTGATGAAACCTAATAAAATGATTCAACAGACAGTAATAAGAATGCAGTACATTTCAGCAGACTGTAAGATTATACACAGTATACTGTTGGCTATTTCTAGAGAAGGATGTGCCAATCACCTTTCTGGAACATTCACGTGTTGGATCAAACAAAGAGAAGAATCTCCTGGAAATATTAGGAAATACACCATCCTTGCCAGGGTTACAATAAAGCATTTCAAAACAGCAGATATTTGTAACCTGACGAGAGGCACTGGTGGTTTGACCAGATAGCTAAATGCTGAGGTTATACACTTTTAAAATTAATTAGGCAAATGCAGGAGAGCAGATTTCATAACACAAATGATAAGGCTATAGAAATTTCTCCTGGTAGCCAACTTCATCTAAGAAAATGACACAATTCCCATGTTTTTTCTTACTTAAAGTCTCTCTAGCATAGCTATCTTAAAAATTCAGTGATCACAGAGGAGATCATTCACACCCACTTCTGCATTAAAGTGTGAAAATGATAGAAATGGCATACTAGGAATCCCTATTGTAGGCAGCAAATCACTGCCACAGCTTAACTAGGACACACATTTTTTTATTAACGGATTAAAATGAAGTTGTCAACATTCAGTAAGTGTGTGTGCCTGCTATTACAAACATGGTTTTTATGCATTATCGTCAATGGGACCGCAGCTCGTTCTGCTCCCCCATTAATACAGCTTGTGTGCACAATTCACACTATTCATCCCATTATGTAGCTGGCTGAACTGTGACCCACAGAGGTCACCAGAGCGTCCCATCTGCGATCCAGCTGACTGACAGCCCTTTTCAAAACTGCTGTCACTCTCCTCTGACATGTTGTGGTGGAAGACAGTCATAAAACAGCAGCATTGTGCAAGCCCTTTATTATTATTGTTTTCTTTCTTCCTTCATTGTAAAGATAAGATGCATTGAGAAAGTTATCATCTAAATGTTGCTTTATGGTCTGTCACAGGAGCGGGGAATCAGAGACGGTCCTAACGAATCCAACCCTCTCAGAGATTTATTTCTTCACAGCTGCTTTTAAATATTCCTGTCTGTTTGGTTGGCCTATTAGTTACAGTGTCTGTTAGTCATCCTAACTTCTTCTTAAACTCATAGCTGCCTTTTGCAGCCAAATACCATCATTAGGTCCTTTACAAAGTACCATCGCTAGTCTCTTGAGCTTATAAAATTACAGGAAAATACCAGACAGATGAGTAAAGCAAGGAGGAGGGAAAAAAAAAGAGAGAACCATATTTAATAACTGTACATTCTGCTCTTTGTTTCTGTTAAGCAACACCTTGATTGAAGTTTCAGCTATTGTGAGGAAATGTGCAGTTTAAGGCTAATAGCATTTTGTCTGGTGTCTTGTTACACTGACAATGTCATTGTGAGGGCAGGAAAACAGTGAAGAGCACAAAGGCAAATGCAACCCTAATAAATTAAAGTTATATTTTCTCCCAATATACACTTCTCATGGTGAGAGTTGAACATGCAATCGAGAAGACTGCACACTTGTAACTGGATTACCCTTTTCCAGCTCACAGCTAAGACCAGCTTCCAGGCCACATGCAGAAATGGTTTCAGTAGTGGCTTGGTTGGGGATGTGCCTACATATCTTCATGGTGGCTACAGAGGGTCCCTCCGAGCAACACGTCATTACTGTTGCACCTGAATGAGGGCTCAGGAACAGGGCTCCACTGCCAGGGGATGGCTGAGGTGAGAGAGACATACGACCTTCTGCAGGGCTCCAGCAGACTTGGATTCCGCTCCACCCAAAGGAGCTGAATGTCTCCTTTCTGCTAGCCCTGTGAAGTGCCACATCCTGGGCACAGAGACCTCCCTATGGCAGAGCACAGATGAGCTCTGCAGCCCTACACCCACCCCAAGTTGAAGCATCCACCCTGCAGACCCCTTCAGTGCGCGGGCGGTGTGTGACCACCAACCTGTACAGTGACTGACATGGAGGTTGAGGTCCTTAATGGTTCACCCTGATTAAATATGGGCAGAACACGTCTTCCACCCCAGTCAGGGAGGAGACATTAATTCTGCCATAAAAGGTACCATTTTACAATAGGAAACTGCCATAACTGTACATTTTTATTGTCTCGTCTAGGTTCCCTACATTTCCGATAAGCGCAGCTTAGGAACTCTTCCTGCAAACCACACAAAAATAACTGCAGTTTAAGCAGCAGGAAGTTTGAGATAGGGAACAACAAAAGCAAGGAAATTTAAAGTTAAGGCTGTTGCTCTGTTGCTGACTTGTTATGCTGGGCTTAGCAGTGGCGGTAGAGATAATGTGTAATGCATCTTGCTGATCCAAGACCCCTCAATAAATAACCAGGCATGAAGGAATGACAGGGGAAGGGAGTGCAAGCCTTCACTTCACTTCTCTCCTCGTTGCTTTGGGCAATTTGTGTTGCAACCTTCCAGTGTCTGAAGCAGTTTTGTGCGCAGTCTCCTCTCGATGCGTTTTTGGGGATTTTACCCCAACAGGGCTCCCTGTTTTAAAATTACAATGCAAGAGAAAACAAAAAGTCTCTCTGTGGAGTGCTCTTACATTAGATATTAAAGGTACTGTTGATCAAGGTCATCTAAAACAGAAATTCTGCTTTGGATAGGAGATGCAACTGCCCTTGTAAGCACAACTTAAAGACACAGTGGGACATGAAAACCAAAATTTCCTGTTCTCAGAACTGGGTACATGAAGTCTCAGAGGCATCCATGTTTGCCAGTCCTGCATTGTTTTTTTAAAGCAACGAAGAGGAGGATTGTTGGTAGTTGACTCAATACCAACTTCCACAGAGGTTTAGAAATAGGACTTCTGTACCTGCCAGACGGCAATGAAGCCAAAGGAGCAGCCATAGTCTGCCGGGCGCGTCATGGGTTTTGACATTCTTTAAATACTTACTTTCACTGCAACGCCTTGAAGGCTGCTGTCATCTGGTAGACTGAGACAAGAAAAGCAACATGTTTTGCAGGGGTTGTGTGTGAGGAGCTTCACCACCTCCTTCACAGGGGGTGCAGACAGGGCACAGGAGAGAGCGGGCAGGATGTGCAAAGGAAAGTGCTTAAGTAACACCGGAGCAAAAACCCCATTGATTTTATATCACTTAACAACACTTGAAGTTTACCCTTATTTGCAGACAAGTATGAATTCTACCATCCATCCTACCCTGTGCTGTGAATGTACAATCTCTTCCATGAGGACTGTCCTGTGCCTGCAAGTAACACAGCTCTATGTGGAAATTGGGGCCTGACCATGTGAAGCAGGTGACAGAACAGGAACCCATTATGTCTGAATACGAACCTTGGCTGAAAACCATGAGGGAAGTTGGTCTCAGTTAGGGCTTGGAAGGTGGTTCCCTCAAAATGTGACCTTTCAAGTCCAAAAAGAATTTTAGTATAACATAATAAAAATCCTTGGGAGTGATATGTTTTTTGACAGCCGTGCACACATCTGTGAGCACAGAAGGGCTGATCCAGAGGTCACCATTATAAAAATCAGCTGTGTCCAACAGTTACCGCAGTATTATCAACAGTATTAGAGGTTCCTGCACCCTGTACTTAGATTAGGAAATAACTGTGGTAGTTGTGTGGTTTCCCTTTGGCAGCTGCTGATCTTTTAGTGGTGGCCACTGTATAACACAATGAGCAGAAATGGTACTTGTTAGATCCAGCTCTTGGTCTTCTGCCATCACTGCTGTGCAATATGGAGCTCACTGGCTGCCATTCGTAGTCCAGCAAAATCGCAGCACAGACAGAAGTGAATTTCCCAGCACAAGAACTGAATTTCCATTGCTGAGCAAACTAACAGGCCAACTGGTTGGAATTCTCCAGTTTAAATTATGTATTTTATCATTGGATTTCATGTGATTAAAGCTGTGCATTTTTAATTGAAAAACTGAAAAGCAGGGAAGCAACCGACCTCAGATGCATCTTGGGGTTTCTGTGCATTATCTTTTTCCTTCTTGCTCTTTTGGTTTTCATTTTTGATGCGTTTTGATCCAGACACTTTTGTTTTCGCTTCACCCTCCTGGGAACTGTTATCCTGTTTTCGAGGTTTCACTGGAGGCAGTGGCTTATCTTCCTCTCCTTTAATAAATCTTTCATATGGCAGGATTAATCTAGGGGATTAAGGAACAAATAATTGATCAGGTTTTGCCATTCTAGCAAAGAAAAAAAATGTATCTACTATGAGCAGTTTACTTAATAAATCCATTTTCTTCCATGCCATAAAAGCAACAGTTTAAACCCTACATCTATAAATCCAAGTATAAGAAATCAATTTAGTTGGCAAGATTATCATGTGGCATAAATTCAGTGGAGTTGGAGTTGGTGTGGATCAGTTGTCAGTAACGCCGCAGTGGTTTGTGTGGGTACACCAATTTGTACCAGATGAGGATATGAGCCACTATGTTCAAGACTAATTTAAAAAAAATAAAAAAATATCCACCATTTATTTTTGTTTTCCCTCCTTGCCCCTAACAGCACGCAGCAAACCCCAGGAAAACACCTACAAAGCCACAGCCAACTTGATAACAGCTACACAATTTCCAGGCTGGTGGTTCCCTCGAGTGCAAGGGTGAGTGCCAGGAATGTGGCAGAAGATGGGAGAGTTGGGCTGTGGGAACCCTACAGGGGTGGGCACAGCACCAGCCATGCTGCCACCCATGCAAGGCACCCATGTAGTGACAGCCACCATGCTCCCTGCCTTCGCCAGGAGTCTTATTTTAAGGAAGAAAGGGAGAGGAAAAGAGTTAAAAGCAAAGGAATTTTTCACTGTGGAACTGTCTGCCACAAAGTGCACGAAATCACTCTAAAAAACCAAGGAAGAAACACAAACAAAAAATATCCTCCCCTTGAAAGCATCAAACACACCAAGTTTTAATTTATCTGTTTTCCCTTTGCAATTTTTGATCTGAAAGGAAAAATAACTGATATAATTAAAAGGGATGGATTGCATTACAATCTCAGTTTCAACTTCAGTGATTAAAGTTTTTATAATGCATTTTGGTATGATTAATGACTCACTGTGGGATTAATACAAGACTCAGACTTTAAAAATATGAACTTTAATACAGAAAACATAATTTGTTAAAAAAAAAAAAAAGTCGACTTTATGAAGAAAATGTACTTTGCTTATAAACAACATAAATCTACTCAAATACCAGGAATCCTTAATTATCTTTAATCTAAGACTCCAAGGCAGAAACCTCTTTGGTTCAGATATTCGTTTGTTATCCTAGAATCAGTTTCTAAGCATGCAATTTTGATTTACATACTTAGATGTTCAAACACAGTTTGGGCTTAAGAGAGCAGAAATTAGATTGCTCGTGATCATAATATTTTACATTTTAATAAAATACAACATAAATTATGTTAAAATATAAACCTAATTTATGCTATATTAGAAACAAAATTCATTAACTGAGCATGCTCTGACATGGTATGTGCAAAGAGGCGTGAATAATACTTTCTAGCCCTGAATTTGGCAGGGCTCCAGTAATGAAGCTAAGCAGAGCCCACGGGGAATATTCATCTTCAGATCCCATTACAAACTGAGTTTAAACATGTTACAGCTGCTAAAACTGGAAACTGCTCCCTCTATGCAAACTTAGCAAAATAATACATAGTTGCCAAATACCTGCTTCCCACTGTAATATTACAGTTAATGTTTATATAATAAAAAGCATAACTAAGCAGAAGAAGAAAAAAATAATCTTGTTCATACTTGAGGCTGCTACATTTCATTCGCAAAGTGCAAATATTGGTGAAAACACCAAATTCCTCCCTGCACTGCCCAAAGCACTTTGGACTTCACTCGAGGCAAGGCTGGGTTTCACACAGGGCAGCGTCCAGGCTGCTTTGCCATGTGTTAAATATTTAAAATCGCTTTTAATAAAAACACATTTTATTACAATAATTGTTAACACTGCGAGGGGAGTGTTTGACTTTGTTTTGTTTCCATGGGAACATGTTGCCCATTAAAACTCTACATATTCCATCCAGGAAGGTTTAAGACGCTGTCCGGTACCCCATGGGACACGGAGATGCTCCCAACCCATGGAGCGGGCCTTTCCCTGAAAGGCGCCAAGTGATTAACCCCGTGGCTCCGGCCAGGACGGGAGCAAGGCCTGGGTCGACACGATTAATCACCGCTCGCGTGCTCTCCGTCGAGCCTTGTAGGGTAACGCGGGACACAAACTCCTCCTCCTCCTGCTTCTGCACCTCATCAGAACTCATTAGCTTGGGCGCTAATTAGTTACCGTGGCTTAAATTTCCTTTTCTGATCTTAAGGGTTCATGTGGGAGTACAAGGTTTTCATTTTAGTTATTTTTCACTGAGCTCAGCAGTTGGCAGGCCGACAGCAGTAAAAATACATTTCACATCGCCGGTCAGTGGCCTGGAGCCAGCGGCAGGAAATCTGGAATTAAATGTTTCGTGTATCGGGGAGGCGGCATGACTAAGGTAAAACTGAGTCAAAACACAAGGATGGTTTGTTCTAGGATTTTCCCCTCCTCGCCTGAAAGGAGGGCCGGCGGGCTGCCGGACCCTGTGGTCAAGGTGGCTTTTGGGGGCGGCTGGCGAGGAGCCGGGCAGGAACGAGGGCTGCGAGACCCCGGGGAGCAGCAGAGCCCAGCAACGCCAGCAATTGCCGCTTCACATAGAGATTTCCGTTGGTTGCAATTTTCACCGAATGTTTTTTCAGTTATCCTGTCATGGTACAACACAATTACCCACAGGATATGATCTTATCATTTGATTATTAGAAGTTTTTATAGCGCAGGAGTAATAAAGCTAATACAGCTCTTGGAACATGTAAGCAGCCGGCTCACATGCCATGAAAGCAGCCGGTTTAACCAATTTAAGGTCAATATTGCCCAACACCAGAAGAATGCGATCTGCTGTTAGCCAAATAGTTTAGCAGAATGTGACATGTCTGAAACCAGCACAAGATATTTTTTTTTTTTTGGTCAAATATTTGCAGTGCAGGTAAGATTTAATCAATCTTTGCGCAAGGAGAGGTAAAGATAATGTCCAAAAAACTGGATCAAGGTACTTCAAATGGATCGTACGTTGGAAACAACAACTGTGTTTTCCATTGCTTTGAACTGTGGCTGTATTTCACAACAGGGAGGGAAGTATCAAAGTATTCATAAAAAAGGAAAAGAGGGGGAATATTTCATGGTCCAAAGAATATTTACTTGTAAAGCCTAGGAGAAGACCAAAAAAAAGGGTCTTTATAGTGATCAAGATTCTGATATTAAGATTAATAAAATGTATTATTTATAAATCAATTAACATAAATAGAATATGTAAGCACTAGTGTATTAAAAAAATCTTTCCACAGGCAGCAGATTTTTAGCAGCATGAGGTTTTTTTTTTTTCCTGGAATAATACAAGAATAACATTTTCCAGCCAAGAGCAGAAACAGTAGGGGAGTCTTTGCTATCACAGGGCTTCTTATTAAATTCAGTCACTGTGAAAAGCCAGTCTTTTTCTTTTCTTTTTTTTTTTTTAAATAAAGACAACTTAAAATCAATACAAGTTAGATTAACAAATCAGTACTATACTAATCCTGATTTATTACAATCGGCAATATTAAGTTTAATCATGTATAAACTGCTACTCAAAAAAAGATTTTCTTTTAGTAAGTCCTGAATTAAATAATGGTGCAGTGTACTGAGTTTTTAGATCTGCATCATCTGATATTATGAAAAATTCAATGTACTTCTCTGCAGCAGATGTCAGAGGTCAGCAAATCTATTACAGTAATGTAAGTAATCTGGCTTTCTGCCAAGGTTTTTTTAAAAAACACTGAAGCAGATAATTTTATATTTACAAATTCTAAAATCCTCTAGGGACTGAATCTCTTCCCCAACAAAAAGCAGAAACTTCACATTAGAGAAATGTATTTCACAGTATATCAAACATGTCTTCATCATTAGCATTTCATAAAAGGAAAAAAAAAAGCCCTTAATCTTTATTAGTCAACATTTTTTTTTCCCAGCTACAGAACTAACAATACAAGATCTCATCTGAGCCAACAACCACTACATGTATTGATTATGCAGAATGAATGACTTTTTTGGCCCGACTTTGCTTCACAGGACACATGAGAGCACATCTATTTATAGGCATGATAAAAAAAGTAGTTACAATAATGCAAAGGATCTGACCAGCCCAGAAAGAGGAAGGAAATTAAATGTTAAGGCTGCCAGTTTCCTCTTTAATTCTCCCTACTGTGTATGGATATGACAGGGCTCTGGGGCCAGGGAGGAACCATATGCCCAGGACACACAGGGTGAAGGAGGGAAGGAGGCAGCTCAGCACAACCCCTACAATATTTTTTTATATCTCTGTTTCAGTATTTAGTTTTGTTTTGTTTTTGGCAGAATAAAATATTCCAGCATGTCTCCCATCGACATCATTGTACTTTCTCAAGGGCTTCAAGTCCAACACCAAATAGCATGCAATGGAGCCTCTCAGCCACAAGAATAATTTTGGAAAGACAAAGTACCGAAGGCCATTCCTTGGGAGATGTTGCCCCATTCGCATGCTTGGCCAGGTTAAGGAGGCTAATTGCAACTGGAATGGAAAAAGATTTAAATTTGCTCCACCAAATGAATCCAGCAACCAGTTAACCCATGGAACTCACTGCCAATGGATATCTTGGGGCCAAGGGATTAGTGAGATTATGCAAGGATTAGATGCTAATGTAAATCATGAGAACATTAAGCTGTTAGAGCTTCAAAATGCTGAAAACGGACAGGCAATAGGACTCTTTACAGGTAGGAATTTGGGAAAGGTTTTCCTCCTGAGCACCTTAGGTCACAGTGGCTCCAACTCCCTCCTCTGGAGTTGGGGGACAAGACAGCTGGTTTGCCTGGCTCCAGAGGGCAACCATCTGGTTCAAGAGGTCCCCACAACAGCCGGGTAGAGCTGCCCACAGCCCCTGCAGCCAGAGGGTCCAAGCACAGGGCTGGGAGGAGTGGTCACTGAGCCAGAGCAGCTTGGGGCAGCTCTGGCAACAGCCCCTGTGGGGCAAAGGGGCCCCCATCAGTAACCCTGGTGAGAGAAACCGGAGTCTTGTCCCCTAGAAACTCAGGGGCAAAACTGAGTGGCAAAAATTCAGCTGTTTTAAGGGACCAGCAGGAACACCTGAGCTCTGATCCCAAGAGAAGCCTTGTCTTTTTTACTGTGATGCTTTTCAAAAGGATAAATCTCGGAGCACTGGTGTCGGTGTAGGCAAGAGAAACAAGGTACCTTCAACAGCAATCAGTTGGTGGGGATAGCCAGGAGTAGGAGGCAGCTCTCCTGGACACCACTGACACGTTCCCAGCAAAGAAGGGAAACTTAAAGGTCTCAGTCTGTTTTCCAAAATGGAAATATAAAATACATTGAGGAAATGAAGCAGAGTGTTCCTCAAGTCTGATTTCCCTGGACTGCATTGTACAATGGAGGGGTTACGAAAGCAAGCCTCACATGCTTTTGTGCAGAACACAATAGCAATGGCTTGATTTGCATTTGTCTGAAGTACAAAACTGGCATGTATTTTATCAGCAAAGACAAAATATGTTTGAGTTCAATTTTCTTTCCAAAGAACTTTCCTTCCTTAAAGAAATGGTTCTTTCATCCTTTCATCAACAACTTTCCTCACAGCCCACTGGGAGTGCTGGTGGGTAATGAGAATGGCTCACTGCTGAAAGGTGGGAACTGCGCTAATGTAAGAGAATTCAAAGACACTTTGTTTTAAGTAAACTGGAAATTAGTGACATTACAAACACAGCTGTTGATTTAGTTGCACAGCCAGGCTAGGGAAGCTCAGGCACTTCCGATCCTAGGGCTCAGCAGGGGGAGATGAACAACCCCAGCCTTTTGCCTTTGGTGCAGATTTACTGCATGTGAAAGACTCTAAGGAAAGGTGATGGGCACAGAGCGGCTTCCCCAGGTGACTCTACCAAAACTGCTACAAGCCTCTGTTTGTCCAGTCACCATTTCTGCATCTAAAGACATGCATTTTGTTTGGTAGGTTCATAGAGTCCCTGCAATGCTCAGTCCCTATGCTCAGGACAAGTTCACAGATGCCATTTTGCACTGCTTGTGGGGTGCAGGTCTCCTGGAGAGACCCCAAAATCCTGTTGACTCTCCCTTGGGAACTCTGAGTCACATCTCCATTGCTCAAAGCCAAACAAACCAGGACAATCCACGCCATGTTAGCAAAATCCTGAAGTACAAGGTGGAGATTCCCAGCAGCCCTGGGGAACCTGAGGGGAAAGATCTTACTCTTCATCACTGGTGCTGCTCCTGCAAAGGAGAATGGCATGTTTCCCACTGTGCAGCACCCTCCTGGGGCAACTCAGCTCCCAGCAAGGAAAAGGGGCTTGTCCACTTGTGTCAAGCCTGTCCCTACTCCTGGATGTCAAGAGGTGGTTACCAGGTGTGACACTGACCAACTCCAAGCACTCAGCTTGGTGACTGGGTGTGCTGGGACCCCAAAAGCAGTGGGTGGCACATGGTATGCCACTATTCTGCTAGGACAAACTCCTGGGTGGAAGGCAGGATGTAGCTGGGAAAACAACTCCCCACCAGGAGAGAGATCATCTGTTTCCAGGCACTAAAAGGCAGCGCCCTACTGTCCAGAACTTTGCACCCAAGGATTCCCGCTGACTCCAGTGCTGGCCAGCAAGTCTCTGAGGTTGAAACCCCAGAAATTTTGAAAAATATGTGTGTTCTCAGTTGTTTTGAATGGACAGCTAAGGATCTATTTTAATGGTAAACAATTACATTCCTCTGTCATCTGATACTTTCTAAATTTTGGGGAGGGGGGAAGCTTTCTGAATTTTCAATAGTTCCTTTGTTAAAGCATCTGTTACTCACATAATTGAAAAGATGTTTGTTCAGTGGTATGCTTGAGAGTACAGTTATTTAATCTTAATGATAAAGCCCTGAGGGCAGAAAATCATAAGTAGAAACCTCTTGTTATTTATCAAAAAGAAAAAAACCTCCAAACTAAAAACCCAGGAAAAAAAAGAGAGAACTGAGACACCTCATCTATCTTCAGGCTTAAATTCATGCTTGATGGAAAACTACTGAGACAATTTGCAACTTGTGAAGTTTTCTGGGAGTCTGGGACTAGCTGAAGTGTGAGGGGGGCAGGGAAGTGGGGTGAAGACAAAAATAAAACAACCAGAAAAAACTGTTGCTTGGCAAGTCTTTTTTGGGTCAAACAAAGAGCTAGTTGTAGTTTACAGCATGACATAACATTTGATTAATTTTTGCCTGAGGATGTTTTCACACTTAACAGTGTAAATCAAAACCTTCTATTAATTACAACGTGTATTAAAAGATAACCATAAGTAATTTCATGTAGATGCCATACTAGCCTCCTGCTTTTTTTTCTCTCTAAAAATTGGCTGCTATTTCTTACAAAACTCCACTGAAATTCTTACATGTTTACCAAAGTTATCCAAACGCTTTAACAAAACCAAACAGCATTTGCATGGAACACAGGGCTCTCTTGCATATTGAATTACTGCACAATATCCTTAGGGTAGACAGATTTTACAGTTGTTAAAGGGAAACCATGTAAAGGACTTATTTTGACCTACCTTGTGTTTCTGATAATATATAATATTTATGTGAGCGATTTAGAAAGAAAAATGGCAGATTGGGCTCTGAATTGCACAAGACACTTTATCTCCTGGGGTTTAGTCCCCTGGTAAGGGACAGATGTGCAGGGTGCTCTGCAAGTACCCAGGGGCCACACTCACAGCCAGAATAAAACCCTGCACAAGTCAGTGTCCAAAGCACGGGCACGGCCACCCTGCCCCACTGTGAAGAACCACAACCCATCTCACCTATCTGCTTCTCCTCAAGTTCCCAGTGGTTGTGGCTCTGCAGAAAGCTCTCCCACGCAGCTGCCTGAATTCGGCGAGAGCACAAGGCCTAATAAATCCCTCTCCAGCTAGGTTTGACCAGGACACAGTGGCTTTACAAGTGCGACTCGTGAGGGTCAGGATATGACACACTGCTGAAGAGCAGGACACGGCCTGTGGGAGTCTCTAGGTCCATCCCTGCTGGAGATCCCGAGGAAGCCCAGCTTCCTGCAGCACCCAAAGAGGTCAGAAGGTTACTGGTCCAGTTGCTTGCCATGACACCTTCCAACACAGGCATGTCTGTCTACCAAAGAGGCTGAGGAGAGTCACTGTATGCCATTGCACACCACAATTCCCCAGCCCATGCGTGTATGTGCAAAGCTTGTGCACAGGGTTTGCTCTGGAGGAAACCAAGATGAATCACAGCCAGACCTGGAGACAGAAAAAAGCCCCAACAGGCAATTGCTAGGATTTTTGTTTTGTTCAATTCGTTTTATTGGGTACTTTACATACCTTGCAAAATAGCAGGTTGGGTTTTTTGGTTTTTTTTTTTTTTTTTTTTTTTTTTTTTTTTGGGGGGGGGTGGTGGTGTAATATTTATGAAAAATCCCTAACAACAACATCAGCAGCACTGCAGAAACACAGCCTATTGCTCATGCCAGCAAATTAAAGCTGCTGATCATGTGTTTTGTGTAAAAGCGAAAAGAGACCTCAAACCCTGCATGTGAAAACCACATCTGGTGGTTTTTAGGGGAAGATGGCACAGAGAAGAGTGCTTCGCAGAAAAGTAGCCGTTTCTGAGGGTTTCTCGATAGGAGAGAGAGATGTAGGGTACTGACAAAGGCTGTAAGAGTTTCACAGGAACGGTGCAGGCTGAATCAGCTCATACCAACCACACACACCTCTGGCTTTCTGTGACTGTGCAAAGTAAGTGCATCAAAGGAGCACAAAGGAAGAAAGTAACAACCAAAACAACAACAACAACAACAACAAAAACAACACATAAGCTCTGTACAGTCCAAGTCGTGCACAGAGCACAGCCCCATGATGGGAAAACATTAATGCTTTTTATATTGGTAATCATCTGTAACATGAGCAATTAAGTGCAGTACTAATGGACTATAGCCAAGAGCCTGGTACTAATATTAAAAACTGACAGAGATGAATAGGTTTGGAAGGAAAACTAGGCTGACAAAGACAGTTTTATGAAGTGCTTGGGCCTATTTGGAATAACCCAATCAGAGGCAGGTCCAGACCAGCCATGCCTACAGTGACAATAATGCATTCACTGGCATTATGTGATGCCTGCTATGTTTTAAACAAAAACACCCATTGCTTCTACTCAGAAACCTGCACTTTCATTATTATACTCATTAATAAAACAAAAGTTGTCTAACTAATATACAAATAACACTTACTGAAACACTGGCAGCCTTGCCTTGTTTTAAAATGAAACCAGTTACTGGAAACACAAACCATATCATATGATAAATGAATCGGCTGAAAATGCACACAAAAACCTTTCTTTCCCTTTAACCAGGGAAACAAAGCAAACACTGCCCCAACTGAAGCATTCTGCCTGCTTACAGCACACCAGCAGCTACCACCACAAGTTCTGCTCCAAATAGGGGGATGCAGAGCAATACATTCCCCACAGCCTTTAAATCTGGCTTTGTTTTAGCTTTTGGCATCCTTGCTATCATGAGTCTGCAGCAACATGGTGGCTTTGTAGAGGTTATAAACACCTTCAGACAAAACTAGTATCTCTTCATGGGATTTGCTAGACAGAGAGACAATTCTGCCTCTCCAATTGTTGTGGCTTGTGTTTGGTTTTTTTGGTTGGTTGGTTGGTTGGTGTTGCCGTTTGTTTTTTCTCCCTCTTTTTGCCCTTTGAAGTCGTGTGTAAAATTCCACCTTTCAAAGGGAAACCTGGAGAGGCCAGGAAGGTGGGATGCAGTGCTTGAATTGGGACATACATGCCATTCCACTCCTGAGCATCCTAAGGATGTCACTGGAAGTGGCTGCCACCTAAACAGCCTTGGTATGCTAAAGCCAGTACAAACAGGAGTTCCTCTGTCACCTTGGAAAAGAGCTGGCTAACACAACACGGACACCCTTGAGATGTGGTTGTAGAGATGAATGGCAAGGCTAAGTCAAACAGCACCAGGGTCAGTGAAGTCAGGAAACTGCCTATTCTGCCTCCAGTAAGCAAGGAAAGGCCAGTGGGATTCAAAAAGGAAAAATCATGAGGTTTATTCAGCATTTACTTTCCAGCTTAATTCAATTTCCAGTTTAGCTTTACAGTTCACAATCAAGTTTGAAAATATATGTGTGTCCTGAATCATGACTGTGTGTTCCTGCACTGCAGTTCTAGTTTTAGATTAAATGTCATCTGAGCACTTTGGTTATAAATGAGCATTAAATTTACAGGTGCTGTAGTTAGAATTACCAGCTGAAACAAACCATGACAATTTCATTTACTTTTCTCCAAGTCTGAGGCTTAATACAGCTTTCCTGTGGTGGAAAAAAAGCATCTAACAGTAGAAAATTAGAGACTGGATGAGTCACTGAGGTTTTTGTATACGTGTTTTGGTTTTTCAGACCAAATTTGGTAAAGCACATTTTAGGTAAGCTCAAGGTTAACCTAAAAATCCTGCAAGACTTTTTCTCCAAATGCCATCTTCTGACAGCCTCCCAGAGTCCTGGAAAATAGGTGCTGCATCATATCAGACATAACCCAGAACTACACGATAGGCTGCCATCCAAGAACTCAGATTTGAGCTCCCTGGTTTACCAAGACCAACCTAACCATAAACTAAAAGACTCTTTCCTCAGACTGGCTGGAGGCAAGCGGAACTGCTTTTGGATAGCCTGGAAAGGGGTTTCAATCTTGAAGGTATCGTGAGTCTGCTCAGGTTTTCTAGTGAGCACAGTGGGGTTTGCGGCACACCTCGAGTAACTGCTGAGTCAGTCACAAAGATGAGTCTCTATGCATGGAAGGGGAATGCAATTCAGGGCGTTTGCACGTAAAAAAATAAAACACTAGCATGAAACACTGACAGGAAAGCAGAAGAGAGAGACAGGGGTTCATGAAGTATTTGGAATGGTTCATTTATTTTTCCACAACTACAAGACATGCATGCTCTCGGTGACTCCAGGATTTCAACACAGAGCTCAGCAATGCTCGCTCCCTCTGCGACCTAAACCGGCAGAGACCTAATGCTTATATGTGCCTGGGTCTCCTCTGTCAAATAACATCCTCCAAAGCACATCTGGCGAGGGAAGAGCCAGACTGCCAGTTGGAAACTCATCAGCTGGCTTGGGTGCAAGAGGAAGCCCTGAGACTCTCGGGGCTGTAATGATGGAGGGGAAGAGTTGAATACCCACCATCTGATGAGTCAATAAAACAATCTATAACATTTGTCTGCAGCGCGAGGGCAGGGAAAAGCCCCTCCTGACACGTGCAGCAACTCACTCAGCTTGCTCTGCTGTTTGGCTCAATCTCCAGAAAGCTTCTAACTTTTATAGTGGCATTCATTACATGCAACTCCTTTGGGCCCTTCTGTTGGAGGTGTCTCCTGTAAATGGGCATGATCAATTCCCCCTCCCTCCATGAGGATGGCAGTACGTCCCTTGGAGAGGCCAACATGGAAGGCACTAAAATAAGGAGCAAAACTGCCCACTGAGTACAGCTCAGCCGTGCTGCTTTCTGCACAGGCAAGTACAGTCTCTTCCTGACCCCAGCAAAGTAACTTGTTTATGCCCAGGAACAAGAGACTGGACTTTCCTTATCTGAGCCTGAAATTGCTGAGCTTTTATTCGCATTTGCTTGTCTAAGGAAAAAAATCAAAAACAGAAGAAAGAAAAAGAAAGAATAAAGATAAAAGAAAAAGAAAAAAAAAGAGAGAGTTGTTTCTAAAAACCATACCAAACCAAAACAACATTCCAGCTCCAGTACTTTATTCAATGCGTGCTGGCTTCACAAGCCCTGGAAGTTATTATCTACATGGGAAGAATAAGAAATCAACAGTTCTGACCAGCTACAATGGCTGCAGAGAAAGAGTGTTTGGCAGCAGCTCGCAGGCAGGGAGGAGGGAAGGAATGCAATGAAGAAGAGGAATGCAACGCTCGGCATGACCTACAATATTAACAGCACCCTGCATTGTGGGTCACCCCATTATTTTGATCACAACCACAATTTGCTTAATTGGTATTCCTAAAAAATGACAGATGACAAGTGTTTGCATCAATTAGCTGTCATTTCTTATTTTTTCTTGAATATGTTTTGCTCATTTTTTCAGCTTCTTTAACTGTAAAGCTGTTGCAAAAATTAAGATATATACCAAAGAAGAATCAGATGCTTGTTTTATTTATTTAGTCACTGGAGACAGACACTCTGGTTTAAATTACAATCTGACTAAACCGTTGGGGGAATATTTACTATATCTTCAAGAAGCCTCTCTCTCTTTTTCTCTAATTCTTTATAAAATGCTTTGAAGGCTTTCCAAATTAATTTTTTCATTATTAAACAAGCATTTCGGATTTGTTATCTTACCTTTCATAATGTCTGCGAGTACATGTAGCAGCACTTGTGCTTCCAGGGTTACCACCTAATTCATCATAAATATGTTTCCATTGTCGACGGGCTGTTATCTGTAAAAATGGCAATGGAAAATTTAATCTTGCATCTTTATAGATTCTACAGTGTTTGAGTTCACAACAAATGCACGTATGACACTTTCAGAACAGCATGTACTACAAGCACTATAAAAGCCCCTACAGAATATACAGAGTGCACAGAGCTTTGGGTGTCTTTTTTTTTCTGTAAGTTAGCACTATATCTATTTTCTTTCTAAAATGGAGTGATCTGACTGATTCATTATCAAGTCACAAGCAATACGGACTCACAAAAGAGAATTTCAATCAATACGGGGTCATTAACCATCAGAAGTTATGCAGACAAATCCCACGGTGAATTATGAAAATGAATCTCAAACCATACTCAGCACAAATAACGATTACATAGTTTTTTTTAACTGAATTAGAGAAAATAAATCTGCTGCAAAACCCAAATCCACCACAGAATTCCAAAAATCCACAAAAGCATAGTCCGTAACTCTGTATGTTACAAGTTGTTTATTTTTATCCATTTATGTCAGTAAAATATACAGATCAAATACTAATGAAATCTTAACATACTCCAATGTTAATATTTGAGCTACGTACTTTATTGGACCGTGCTGATGAAAATAAACATCTCGTAACATATTGAGTTGCATACCATGGTTCTGGTTTTTTGTACAGAAATTAGGATTATACAGAATAACAGATGGAAGACCTGGCAAAAGGATTGTTTCTGAATACCACTTCATTATTTTATATATTCCACTATATTTAAAACAGGAAGAAAAACAGGAATAGGACAAGCACAACAGATCACCCTCTTTTGCCTGCAGCTCATAAAGAAGGCCAGTGGAAAACTGTAGGGGCAATTTGGGGAGAATTTTGTCATTTTCTGCGGAATGCTGTGGATTTAATATATTCAGCCCTGGAGGTTTCTTCGGAGTTACCCACAGAGCAGTCAATGGTGTTTACTGAGAAGCTAAAGGCAGCAATCAGAAGAAAACAAATATTACAACTTGCAATCTGAGGCCTGTAATTTTAATCTAAACAAGAGGAGATACCTACTATCATCAGACAGTACAGGGTAAGAGGTGTTTCTTTTTTGCTCAATACAAAAGGAAAATCCTTCCTTTGCAGAAATTATTCTCCAGAATCAAAAGCATGGCTGGAGACTTATCATTTGATAATGTTACAATTTCTTCAAATTTACTGTCTGCAGAGTTCTCCAGAAAACAGCAGCACTGTCAAGTCACTATTAGCACCTGAGCACAGTTTGCATCTATAGATACTTGAAAAAAAAAAGTATTTTATCTTAAACCTTATTTAAAGCTACATGAACTGACTTCATTCACTAATTTTATCTTCTGTCTTTTGTAGCAAACCCAGACACCACAGGCACAAGGATTCAAGCAATTCAGGGATAAAATCTGCACAAATAAATTATTTAAATACAAATCAAACACTCATCTGAAGATAAGGTTCATGCTAAGTCTATTTGGTTTAAGTTCCTACACTGTCTCCTTCCCCAGGCTACCCACACTTCTACTTATTATTACTACTAAAGGGTTTGAAGAACTGGAGTCCTAATGAGCCATAAAGAACGTCACATCCTGAGAATATGAATGGATGTTCTTTATGCAACCCAAGAGGTCAAGTGAGAGTTGGACCAAGTACCCTGCTGTGGAGGAATGCGTGGATGGGAAGCTACCTCTGGTTCTGCCTCCCACATTCCACCAGTCGCCTCAGGACAGGCAGAGGACAGAGGCACAGCCAGACAACCACCTACACTGCCTTCTTGTAGCTCCCAAAAAACCAGAGATCTCCTGAGGATTGCTCTAAGTGGCTTTATACTAAATCAAGTCTCTGGCAGGCTCACAGACGAGGGGAACAAAGGTGCACAAAGCCAATCTGGGGTCTGTGCTCTGGCCCTGTGACCAGCACAGCCTGGCTGGTTTGCAAGGCTGTGGGCCAGGACCCGATGCCTTGGCTAAGAACAGTGATTGCTGTGCAGGAGCTTTAAATGAAAGCCAAGGATTAGTTAGCAAGAGGACTACTGCAAGTCCCCTTTTTAAACATCCCAATGTGACTAAGAAGCATGGTCTCCATTTTCAAAAGGAAAATGTTAACTTTAGAGCCTTGGTCTCGTTTACCATGAGCTGACTCAAGAGGCGATACTCACACTGGAACACCAGTAAACATAACCGACTTTAAGGGGAAAAGGGAATCTCTTTGAAATCCCATGATCATTTTTGGTGCCTCTTTCCTCTGTGCTGCTTAGAATAACAGTATTTTCACAAACATTTGCCCAGCTTTATCCAATTCTACCTCTCCAATGGACTAGAGCTGCTTGGCAATTAGCAGAGCTGTGCCCTCCTACATACAGAGCTAAGTTTAAATTTGACATTTCCTGAAACAATTGTTATTCTAACAACGCCTGGGGTTGAATTTTCTCCTGCTCTGGAAAGTTTATTTTTTATGCTTAATAAACTTCAAAGGACTAAAGGAACTGATTAATTACACCCTTAATCTGAACAAAATGCTGCACTGAGGAAACTTCACTGCTGTCATACAGGGCAGCTCTGCTCAAGCTGGATGCCCATACTGACCACATCCAAATTGAGGACTGCTTTCCTTTCTCATACCAGTTCCTCCCAGACACCTCAGTGACCAAGAACTTTTTGAGGAGGGTAATGCTCTGCAATGCTTTGGTTACAGTTCTGGTTCCTACCAAAATTCTCTGCCTTTGCTGTATTAGTTTTCCAATTTGTTCTTCCCTACTCCTAACCAGTATATACATCCCTCCCAGTGCCTGCCATGTTTCTAGAAGTGCAGGATGCTCCAAGCTGACCTATTAATCAAGGCAATTGCACAGGCCAGTGCAATTGCCATCTCTGACAGCTTCCTATTCCAATGCTGGCTTTAGTTTTAAAGTAGTCTGCTTTGCAGAGCCCTCCTGCAATTTGCTCCAACCTACGGCTTCACAATCCTAGAGTTGGGTCCAGTGGAAGTCAGCATCTTTGAAAACTCCTGTGACATCTTTCCCAACCAGCAAAAACTGGAGGCTTAAGGTCTTCAGCACTGTTCCCAGATCCCTTCCCCCTGAAAGGATTCTTGCTTTTCCCACTGCAAACATAATAAGGAATTTTCTGGTCATGGTACGTGATCTTCACAGTTCTCTTCGAAACAGAGCTCTGGGTATTAGCTCTGTATGAAACAAACTCAGGTAGCTTTGCATTCCACTGATATATCAGTTTCTTCGGGCCTGCCCAGACACAGGACTGTGGTGTGTGTCAATCATTAATTTTTAAAAACTAAAGCACTTTATTGTTGCTTCCAGGAGGCAGCAGCTAAATGGGATCCCACTGACCTTTGGCAAAATCTAAGCTGCTACACACTAAAGGTTAAGCTCCACCTAATTTTCTTTCTACCCTTTATCTTTCTAAGACATCTCCAGGTAGAGTCCATTCAGCAGCACAGCCTTCTGCAAACATGCCAAGGCACTTCTTTTATGTTGGCTCAAAAGAAAAAATGCTACTTCATGACTTGCCAAGGACAACTCTTCAGGTAAGTCCTGGAAGTTTCCCATCTATGAATATCTGCACCTTTCACTCACTTCACTTAGGATGACAGAATTCCAGGCAATGGCTGTTAAATGCCACTGCAGCTGAGCCCCTTTGAACGTTTTGTATTTCACCCAGTGATCTGGAGACATTTTAAACCATTCCTACTGTGAAGATCTGCTATAGAGAGAGCTTTCCAATGCACTCTCCTATTATTAGTAACAAAGATGTTCGTTTCACATATCTTTGTTTAAGAGAAACATGATTCCACCTACTCCGAAGAGACAGTTTCATCTCTTAAGGACTTAAACTAATTTGTACAGGTTGCTATTTTTATTAAGCCTGTATTATGTCCAACAAGAAGTACAAGGGAGTGTGGTATTACACAGTTAAAGATGACAACTAACTAAGAATTAGTAATCAAAAGGGGGAGAAATTACTCTTATGAGTACTCTGACTGGAGAACCCTTTATGGCACACAATCATGAGTTGACACTATTAGATATCCTGCATGTATATCCCATATGCAAAGGTAATGCTCTCTGTCAAGTCTCACTGGATCCGTTCAGGCCCCTGACACAGGACAATAAAGGAAAGTCAGACAGATGGCTAAGAAAGTTGTTACATCTCCACATCTCAAAACCAGGTCCTGGCTGTTCTCAGTCCCTGTTAGATCCTTATCGAAACAGGACTGGACTCAAAGGTCTCGCACTGTTCTGTGAATCTGTGCAGAAGCTGGAAAACACCGCGCATCACCTCTGCTTGTTTCTCAAAAATGTTTTTTAAACCCCACTGAAACATCTATATATGGACAAGGTGGACAGGGCAATGGATAAAACTTAAAATGGGCAGACTATCATTGTTCTGTCAAACACAAGGATATAAAGTTTGCAACTGCTTTAACTGGGAAGGTTTCTACTCTTACTAGTAAAAAACTAGTCATCTAACCACTCTAAGTTTCCGTATGTCATTTTAACCCATGTTTTATCTGTTTCCTGTTCACAAAATGACTGTCACATGCCAAAGTCAAATATCTACTTCTAAATATTCTTTTCTTTACAATACTTCTAAGAGAAAAGACCTATTTCTATCTCGATGCACAAACCAGAAACCTGTGACATTTTAAAACAAGTTAAAGATGGTGAAGCCCTTATAACGGACAAAGGGTTTGTTCAAGCCAGATGGAAGGGTCCATAGAGATAAATGTGCATTAATCAGGGCAGGTTTCAGAAAGCCTTTGCTCTGCACATGACTTCTCCTCACTGACAGATAGTAGTACTGTGTGTGAGCAGTGGATTCTGGTCATTACTGAATTACAGCACTCACTTGAAATTTCTGCATCTAAGTAGACCTGCCTAAGATGCTAGAACTGATACTGAGGTACATGTCACCCCAGCCATTGTGAAAAATGAAACACAAATCAAACACAAAAGCCTCTCAGCAGTGCTCACCATGATAAAATATATACAAATGAATGCAGCTTGGCAAACTCAATGAATATCAACTGGCCATAATATAATAAAAAAAAGACTGTGCACAGGTCAAAGTATTGCAACAGCTATCAATTTAATAGGAAATTCAAAGCAAAGGCAGATCCATATTGAGGATGAGACTGTTAACAGATGAGAATGAGGTCAGGAAACCTCATGCTCCATTCACAACTTAAAATTGCATCACAGCAGTCCTCCCAACTTCAGCTCACCCGCCAAGAGCACAGATGCCACTCACATCATAAAAACAGGATCGGGCCCATCCTTTCAGCCAGAGTCACTCTCCAAACAAGGCTGGGCTCACAGATATGTCAGAGGGCATGAGCTATGCTTGCCTTGCCTTTACTGACCAGCAAGCAATTGCTTAGTTTACTCTGAAGAATAAGCACCACTGGTACATTTTCATCAAAGGTGACAAATGTCCCTAAACAACAGAGAATATCTGTCTCTGAGAAAAGGACAGAAGGTCTGAGACAAGGATAGACTGAAGCTACTCTGGATGATATTATCACACATTTCTGCTTTCGTTGGCAGACCCGGCTCTCTGGCCCTGGCCTTGTGTTCACAAACTCTCCATCCTATTCCTGCTCTTCCCCAGGCACAGGGGTTCACCTGCTCCCGCATCCCTAAATTCATCCCTCTCCTGCTGCCACTAAAACTCAGGTCTCTCCAGCAAGCCACTACTTTGGCATCCCTGCTTCTATACTTCATCCCTTCATGCAGACCCGAAACATTGCTGTGAAAATCGCTCGTCTCTCTGGACGAGCACCCCGGTCACACCACTTGCCTTTTAATCTCCCTCCTGGCCTTCCCTAGTGCTCTGCATCAAATTCAAGATTTTAGCCCTCATTTTCCTTGCACTTTACAACTCATGGCAATTCTGCTAATTGCTGTAACGATCTATCTATGGCAGCTATTCATTCATACATACCCATGAGCACACCTACACACACCCCTGTACATCAGCATGGTATGTGCTGATTAATGAAAGACAGAAGAAGAACAATAAAAGCCAAATCAAGCATATATTTTTTTTAAGAATGTTATATTTCATGTTTCACAAAATCCCAGGCACACCCATGCTAACCGGCCCGGGCTGCTGATGTACGGAACAATGTGCTTTATTGTATGGAAGGAAAACAGTGAGTTTTGCATTTTGGTTCTAATGACTTTCAGTTTCTTGACAGTGCATTTCTTCTTGTCATTTCTCTACAGCACTGATATGTCCCAGATTACTTCGTAAACAAAGCAAAAATAATTTCTTTCATCCAACTGCGGCAGGAACTGAACAACTTAATCTGATCATTGCGTGCAAAGAAAATATTTCCAATGACGACATCTTCCTATGTCAATTGTTTTTTCATTACAGATGTCATCTCGATATGCCACATTAATGCACCTCTTTCTTCTCATTTCAAGATTTTAATCTAAGTTTGTTGCTCTAATATTTTATTGGTTCAAAATACATGCTGTAAAATCCGTGGCCATCAAATTTTCCTGTAAGCTAAAAATAAACTGCTCTTGTCAGATATGGTTAACTGATAAAAAGTGTCAGAGACTTTTCTGAATTTCTTTGATAACTTCCTGTTTATGTAGTACTGGCCCTAGTCTAATAAAGATCTTTTACACTTGGAATAAGAGGAGATTCTGCAGCATACTCTTCCTAAATGGACAATGCTGATTACTTTTGAAAGCCTTTAATACATTTCCCATATTAGACATGAACAGATGTCAGGGATGTTGCCAAGTGAAATTTCTTTTATGCAATCTTGGCTTGTTGTACAATAATAGCCCTTTCTCAACATGGGAAAAAATTACAGACCTAACTAATTTCCTTGACAGGGAAGAGTTACATATGTTTTCCACTTGTAGTTTTTACGACAAGTTTACAATTTTGCCAAACCTGGAACTAATTGGGACTGTTTCCAAAAATGGTCCAGTAAACCCACAATGTGTACAGCTAGCCTAAAATGCAGCAAATGATTGTTTGCTTTTACATTTTTTTTTCTAACAGGGAAAAGTTAGATTGCACAATTATTTCATTTAAGTTACTTAAACACTTACTGTTTCATATCCTCCCAGTTTTTGAGCAGCTTGAAACATAGTCCAAAGGTTAACTGTTAGAGGGACAATAAGTATTTAGATAAGCATTGCATTAGCCAACATATTTCAAAGAAATGTAAATTAAACAGTTAAAAAAAAATAGAGAAAAAAAAAAAGCTCCCGTGAAACATTTTCAAAAGAGGTATTTACATAATCTGAAGAGTAAATATTAGCCCATACTATATATATTTTTAATTACATATAAGAGAACACACTTATAGATTCCTTAACAGGACTGGAAAAATACACTAAGACAAAGGTAATGGGCTCATTTGACTTTGCTGATAAGAGGCACAGTATAATGACTGTAGCATGTTTCCACAACCTTGCTAATAAAAGTTACTCATTGGGAAGAATGTTGCTTTTAATTATTTGTTTAATACTGATTTCATTAGCAAGCAAGCATGAGCCACACACTGGCTCACAGAGAAAGCCTATCGATTAGACAACAATATCCAATATTTACTGCGGCTCCAGATAATGGTCTCCATAATCAATGAACAATAAGCTGCGTTCTAACGGGTCCCGTGTGAATGAACCCAGATGGAGCACAAATGAGCATTACCATAATAATTATGCTGTGGCTTGTTGTGCCTTGCCCATGGCTGTGGGGTCGGAGGCACAGAGGCAACTCAGTTCAAAAGATGTGTTGGGAGACAGTTGTTACTTCCTGCAGAACTCCCCTCCCCCAGTGTGCTTTTCATCCTGTCTGTGGGGTCACTGCTTGCTGCTGGTGTCTCACTTTTATTTTATTTTATTTTTATTTTTATTTTTTTTAATTGTTACAAGAAAAATTGATGTCAGCCCTATGAAAGGTGTATGCGTGATTCCACCAACAAACACTGATTCCCCACGGACACGCCGCAAATACTCCAGGTCAGCAATAATGCTGTGGACCACGGAGGATGGGATCTCTTTCTCCACGGGGGGATGCTCTGTTGCAGAGTACACACTGTCTCTTTCCACTAAGCTATTTATATTGGCAATGTTTGCACAAGTCTTGCTGGACAAATACAGAGCCCCATCCTGCAAACATTTCTGCTCTTCTCAGTATACTTACTCTTGGTATTTAAGTATTTGCTGGATCAGGCCCCTAATTTATAATGAATGTCAGGCAAGTCTCAGTATATTTCAGCTAAATGTTAGCAGAGGGTCCTAACCTCGGTGGGGAATTTTAGAAATAATACTTTAGCTTGTCTTTCAAGCTCACCCTGTCTCCATTCTTGAGGGAGTGCAGAATAAAATGGGGAGGGGGGGGAAAGAAATCATTTCTTCAACACAAAACGTTCTGAAAGCCTCATTGAACCTTGTACTGTTTCAAAGCTATTGAGAGCTTTGCTTAGGCCTTGATTTAATCTGAATCAATGCATAATGCAACGAGGTTGTTCATAGTACATTAATTTTACTTCCATTTCAAGCAGCCAGTTTTCAGACAAACACTGTAATCATTTGGAGTTATATAAGTTTATAATGGCTGCTGGAGGCCTGTTGCAATCAGTGCCAATTGCTATTAGGTATGTAAATTGTTATGTAAAACATACAGGTTTGACATTCTTCATCAAAATAACACATGGTTTTAATCTGGAGATAAATTAGAGTAAATAATATTTCAATCCATGGCGTTTTCCCTTTAAGGAAATAAAGTACCATTCAATCTATAGATAAGGAGGAAAAATACCCCCATTTACAGCTTTTGTTGGAAACTGTGAAAGATCTACATTGTGCCGCAATATTTATGCAAAATTGGGTTACAACTGTATCTTCTCCACCTACAATTGTTTTACAGATTGTGGCACTACAAACTGTACACGTCAAAGCAATTCTAAACACTGCATTCTGTATTAAACAGATACAGTCTGGTTTTATATTCTCCAAAGTCAGTAATTTATTAACTATAAACACATTCTGGGGTTTAAGAATATGATCCCTTTTGTGCCTTTCTTGACCACCTTTAAATATCTTCCTTTAATATTTGTCCTTTCATAAAGAACATCTGGGCACAATAAAGATACGTCATATTATTAACTCAGAAGAAAGGCATTACAGACGCTGCAGATTTACAAAACAGAAAACTATAGAGTTTTCAACATGCCTATTTCTAGTCATAATCAGCGGATTTAAACCTATAAATATCCGGCAGCAACTACCCCAGAAGGAAGAGATGCAAATCTAGGCATAAGACAGTGAAATGCCTGGACTGGAAAACGTGTAGATATAAATATGGTCCCCCCCAACCGTAAGGCTTTAAAATAGGCGACGTGTGCAAATACTTTCTCCAGAGAAGCCAAACCATTCTAAAATGTCAACAAGAAAGTGAGAAAAAGGATACTTACTCTGCTTAAAACCTAAATAGGGTATTCGTTCAATTGGTGTTTTCCTTTCTTTCATGTATTTATAAAGAGCCACAAGGAAAGCCTGCTCATCAGCTCTGCATTCTTCACCTACGGCAATCTTTGATTTATCCTCACTTGAGCCTTTCTTACAGTTGTTGTTGTTGTTGTTACTCTTGGGTTTGGGCAAAGCTGACTTAGCCTCACATTTTACCTGGGAAAAGAAAAGATGTCATATCAGATCTGGGTAAACTTTAATTTTCACTTAAGGAATAAATACCCTCTCCTAGCAGAATGAATTGTTGAAAAAATGAAGGCCAAACCATGTGACTGTCTTTGAGGGGAAACAAAGGAAGCTATTTATAGAGCTAAATGTCTTGTTCTGAATCTTAGTCACAACATTTTTAAATAGCCACATCTTTAAATCATTATAACTCATTGGTAATGCTCTCCAGATCTGCATTTTTATGACTATACATTGCTATGTCACAGACAGCTTCCATCTCTCACATACACTTGCCATTAGCAAGTCTAATAATAAACTTCGTTCCAGGATTGACACTGAGTATCGTCAACTCCCATAGACAACCCTTGGAGCTGAGGGTGCTCAGCCCCTTCCAGGAATGCTCAGCAGCCAGCTCTGAAACGACACATTTTTCTCTCCTTTGGCCCACCAAAACAGATGCAAACCTTAGCAAGCCTTACCCAGGCAGAGCTCTCAGCACACGAGCGGAGGTTCTGCTGTAGCATGGACTCAAGTCACGTGGATTGGGGCATCAGCTTAAACTTGAGCACAGCCCTAAGTCTTTAGCAGAAGGGAAAGGCTGATAGCTGGAGCCTGTCCTGGTAGACACCGGGAGCCCCAAAGCACACGAGTCCCAGAGCTTCAGGTTTCCCACTGGCCTGCCCAGCAGATGTATGCCAGTCAGGAAATCAATAAATTGGAACCACTTTACCTCTTATCAGTATTCAAATATGGAGAAAAATATCCAGTGAGACTGCCTTAATCCTGCAGTCCCTCCTGAAGATAATCCTCTCACTGAATCAAGCAAATTATAAGTCAAGCATTCACTTGATGTGTGTATACAAAAAAAATAAAAAGAGCAATCTTGCAAACTGATGTGTAAAAGCTCTGCGTGATCAAGACATTGGGACCATGCAATCAATACATTTCCAGTGAAATACTGGAAGTCCTCTAATACAAGATAGTGGATTTGCACTGCCCCTTCAAGGCTTTTGAGCACTGTCAGGGGCCTTCTGGCAGTTCCATACCCCATCCAAGACACATCCTTTGTGCTCCCAGAGGGAGCAGGGAGACTGTAAGAGCCAGTATTTCGTATTTTAGGAGGACAGCTGAGGACAGCAGGGTGTCTTGCTGCACAGGAAAGCAGGAGTTCTCGCTCAAGCAACCAATGGACTCTCCTTCAGAACTGTCAGTTCTAAATCAGGTGCTTCCTAGGCACTTTTGACATTTTGGAAACAACTGCTGTGTAAAGCATTACATATGTGCTTGTAAACAAACAACAAACATATCATTGGAAAGACCATGATACACTCATTTCATCTTAATAAAGCTACCCTGCATTTCAGGTTCAGGGAAAGCAACATCTTTATACTCCACTAGACATTAACTTTGCAGAAAGCTCTGACTTGAGGTTATCCACCTCCATAGTTTTCCGCAGATGGTGGACAAAGCAGTGGTAGCTCCCAACCAGACAGGACAAGTGGTCACAGTCTTCCATGGTAGTTGATGCTGCTGAAAAACCTCTATGTTGGTCACTGCAGGGTACAGGCTCACTCCTCCCAGGCAATGCAGCAGGGACTGGGAAATGGACTTCTTATGGGATTTTTCCTGATCACTTGCTGCTGCAATATGTCCACTGTACTGCTTGATATTCTCCAGCAGCATGGTTAAAAAAGATACTGTCTTCCTATGGCACGAGACACCATGCTTTGCCTTTTAGCAATAGATATGCTTGTTGATTAAACTTCTGTAAAGACCCTGGGTTTCATCCAAAACTCAATGGAGCTAACGGGATTTTTATCCTTTTAAATGAACTTTGGATTTCCTCATCCACTGTTCAGGTCAGAGTTGTAATCCCTTGACTTTTTTACTTTGGCTCCTCACAAAAATTATTTAACAGCTTCCTCTTATAAAGTTTAGATTACATTGTCATAAGTTTCAATGCTTCTCCAAAGACTGGTTAGCACTCCCAATATGAACTCATGACTTCAACAACTCTAGGATTTTCAACTTGAGCTGTAAATTTGGAACAAATTCACTGGACCTGGGAACATTTATTCAGTTTTGTTACCTGCTTGCTTGGATTTTCTTCTTCAAACTGGACAACTCAGAACTACGTTTGCAAAGACAACCTGGGCACGAACACAAACTGAAATCCAAGCTCACTGCTGTGCAAGCAAACTAATGACAAGGGATGAAGGGAAACAAATTAAATAATATTAAGAAACCCACCAGTAGTGAGAAAAACCTCTGGTACACACAAACTCCCTCTCTCCTGTCTACAGAGAAGTGAGGTCAAAGCACCTGTGGAAGTCAGAGGTGCCAAAATGCAATGGATGGACTCCAAGCAGTGTCAGGTTCAATGAAGCGTTGATGAAGGCTGCAGTGCTTCATCCACTTGGTGTTTGAGGCCCAGTGCTGCATCTCTGGGGGTGTCCAGAGATGGGCTCTGGAACATGTGACCACCTCCGGCCATGTGTTCCCTCAGAGGCGGATCATCCATGACTAAATGACCAGTGAACACTCAAGGGTACACCTGTGTGTTTGTCTTCTCCTGCCAGAGGTCACACACAACACAGACCACTACCTGCATTTTACAGTTTCAATCAGATAATGGCTGAGGCGCTCAGAATAAATCTCCACGTCTGAGAGCATTCCAGGCCACCTATGGCCACAGGAAAAGCATATCCTGGCGACTTTTAAACTAATCTCCTAGATCTTGCTGTCCAAATGAAGCGAGAGATTTACTTCAGCATTTGCACTAGGAGACGAAATGAGTAGATTCATTTGGGGAAAACTTCCATGTTTAACAAGTTAATCCTTTCAGTTCTTCAAAATGGTCAGATCAGCCAGTTTTAAAAAGCCTTAGAATGCATTTCTGCACACTTTGAATGGGAACACTCTTTGGGAGGATGAAGCAGGCACAATGAGGGTCACGTTGGAGTCTGCAAGTCCCAAAAGCCTGTCCAGCACTGATGACACGTGAAGGAGTGAAGTACAAAAGCCTCCAAAGTCCTGGGAATGTTTTGTGAGAAGAGCTTGATATATCCTTCTCCAGGAGAGCTGATCCTGCCTGAGTAGACGGTCTTGTATTCTCTTCCCAGCCTAGGAGGACACTCCCCTGGGATCTTCCCCGGAAGTACTGAAATGGATGCAGCGACTAACAAGAAGTGGTACATGAAAGACCCGCTTTCCCTGGCAGCACCTGCAGGTCCAGGACCACATTGACTGTCCCGCTATCACTCTATTTTTAACAAGCCACCTACAGTGGAACTAACTCAGAGCTGCTCCTACCCAACCAGATGCTTTTCCATGTCAGGTAACTGTAAAATCCTACAAAACAATCTGCTGATGGTTCAGGGCAAACACGCCTAATGAGAACTATGTTGTAAGGATGTACAAAGCTTTCTAGTCACTGGCAGCTGAGAACGTGAAATTCAGCAAGTCATTACAACCGTGCAGCTTGAATTGGTCTTGACAGGCTTAAATCCACAGAATTCAGAATGCCACTTCCGTTGTTTCCTGACTCAAACCATAGAGCCACTGCGACTCTGTCAGAGATGTTGCCCTGCCACTGGGAAGTGAGGCTGCTGTCAGACACTGAGGGACATGATCTGAGAATGCAAGCAGCACAACTTCTGCTCTAAAGGGATTTCAGCTGGAACAGGAGTATGGCCAGGACCACGGCCAAAACGCTTCAGCGTCTGACACAAGCGGATTTGTCCTGTTTACACCAGCAGTGTCCAACCCTGCTCTCCACGGACCCATTGTCAGCATTAGTTGGAGATGGAGCACTGACAGGAGGATAATAAACAGAAGAGTCCAACATGGAGCTTCAGATGATGACTTAACATCCCAACTGTTCCCAACAATGAGAAGACAGTAGGTGGGTCTCTGTTCACCCCCCTTCCCCAAATACACTTCCCCTCCTTCCCCAGTAACCCAGAGGCAGGGTCTGTGTGAAGTGCAGTACAACTGCTGTAGAGGGTTTGATTCGCTGTCCTCCTCTTATAAAAGTATATCCACAGCCCTGAGACACAGATGGATGTGAAGAGCCACAGTGAAGTCAGCGTGACTACATGCAAGAACATTATATCATGAGCATGTCTGTTATTTATAATGAAATTAAGCTGGCCAAGATAATTAATGTTATTAATATCTGCACAATGATGAGCACAGTATGACTAGATAAATAGGCGGAATTACTTCTGATCTGAAATATCCTCCCATCTGACTAGTCGGGTGAACCCAAATATAAACAGAGAGGATAAACAATTTGGTATGAAGTGTTACTGTAGTTTTTAATTATCTAGTACCTATATATCAGGTGCTGAAGAGGCAGAACTACTTGTGCTACAGTACAGGGTGCTTTGACAAGACGGTCCACGCCGCAGTTCACTGGTAATATTTCAACATGAAAAATGTCTTGGGGGAAGGGGACTTGAGGCAAATTGAGACATTTTCACACTGCCAATTTTACATGTTCTTTCACAGAGAAAACATTCAGACAAACTATAGTATCTGGCAGGACCCCGCAACTCAACACACCAGGCTCCATCATCTCTTACCATGCCTGTCTAATACGATAGTACAGACTCCAACTGAGCACAATAGGGCACAACAGGAAGAGAAACAGTGACTTAAGGGCAGAGCTTCATCATGAACTTCAGCCTCTTTTATCGTCATCAACAGAAAGCACAATTTTAACTGAACTCCTAGGGGGGAGGAGGAGGTGGAATTTAATTTGCCTTCCTATGAGAAACTGAGAGCAGAACACTTCCACTTGACCTCTTTAACCTCCTAATCTCCCAGGACATTCACTGTGTACAACAATACCAACGCAAATGGGTCTATACATTCACTGTATTTCCTAAAGAGATGGTCACAACAATGGAAACGTTTTTCAGATACACATCCATCTAATTTATTGAAACAGATTTGGCAGGAGTTGGCGTAAAAATTCAGTATATGCAAACCTCTGCAGCTGTCTAGCTCAGAGTGACAAAGTTCTGCCTCAGATAAAAATCAAGTAGTGCTCTAAGTAATTTTCCATCTTTGCATCTCAGAGTTTCAAATTAAATCATCTTGAAAGGAGCCATTTGTGTTGCCTTTTTTTTTAAGAGAAAACCAAATTCCTATTTAAAACCACTCAGACAACATAGAAAATAGGATGCAATTTACACTACAGAAGCTTCATTTTAAAATATTTTAAGGAAAAGACACAAAACCATAAATATCTAAAAGATTAAGTGTATAAACACAAATCAATGATCCAATTTTTACTTGCAGTATGAGCTAAGCACATACAGAAGACTCTGTAAGAGCATGCACTATTCAACAAACCCTGGAACACGCAGCTCAGCACTAAGTACTAAGGAAACAGCCCAGATTTTTTTTTTAAGCTTTTGTACTGAGTTTCTGCCTTTATCTTTTTTATTTTTTTTTTCTAATTTAAAAATGTCAAGATCTCAACATCAGGGTAATGTCGCTTGTGTGTGCTTCTTAGAAACCATTACCGAAGCAGCTCTTGTTTCATAGTCTGTTTATCTTCAAACTTATATTTAGAAGTACATTGTAACACAGTGAGCTGCTCCCAGGTTTATTTTTAATTCAAAGATAATGTCACAAACTATGTTTGTGTGTCACAGAATGTGAAAACTAACACTAGATGCCAAGAAAGCTTAAGCATTACCAGTTACCAACAAGCTGATAGCATTAGGTTGTTAGGTGACTATAGTTGTTGGTAATTTTGAACACAGGCATGATTAAGTGAAAAATAAAACTATTGAAAAAATTACATTTATCATCCCCAAGAAAATAAGTGACACTCTAAATTTGAAACAGCACGCTGGGAAACAAAGGCAGGGTTGTACCTAAAAAAGGAGAGTGCACTGAAAAGAGTATTATTAAGTGATTTACCTTGGCAACAGCTTTGCTTTCAGAATTATTGTTGGAATCCTTAATGCCATTTAATGAATCTCTTCTCTGTGGGCATGGCTTCTTTTTGCGCGGTCTGCCTTTAAGATTTGGCGCTGAAAATTAATGGAGAACAATTTGAGCACATTGTCTTATCCTGGATTCTTAACAGCTGAAAGCATAATAAATAATTCCACTACAATCAGTCACAGAAATGTATACATCTGTCTACAGTAAATGCTTATTACAAGATTCCCATCCTCCATGGGTTACATCTTGACACACTATACATTTCTATAGAATATCCCCCAAAGCTAATCTATTCTACTTTCACATAGCTAATTAATATAAAGTCAAACACTGGTCTCCGAAGGACTCGGAGAGAAAGCACAAATATTCCTCCATGGTACAAAAAAGAACAAAATTGAATATTAATGGGTAACCTTGCATTAATCACCCTGCTGCCTTTATTATCTCTAATCTTCAAGCAAGAGTACTAACTACTATTTCCAACTTTGGGAAACATCTGGCTTTGGAAACGTTCTGAAATATTGAAATTCCTCACAGCTCCAAGAAATGTTTATATATCCTGTCATTCTTGTCAAAGTTCTTCTGAAAAAGTTTAAGAAAAAAAAAAAATTACTCCTGAGTCCTGAAATGGATCAAAAAACCCCTTAACAACTAGTTCTGGAAGTTGACAAGTACTGAAATAAGTGATTGATTGTTTCATAAGGGTTACATACCACACATACAAATTAACATGAATCACTTTCAGTTTTGTCCAATTCTTAAGATAAAACAGCTCTGAAATAACACAGTGACTAAATCCTAACTGTGCTGAGCCATATAAAGAATGGGATATGGATCATCATAAAAAATATCACACTCATCTTTCAATAGTAGTATTACAATATAAATTATGATCATATATAGAAATAAGAGATGAAGCAGATGTTTGCTCATTATTATGTGTCCTCTCTGCTTTCAGATTTAAAAATCAGCCTCTGACTACTATGGCAACATTTAAAATGATAAACAATCATTAACTAATGACTGTACTGAATAAGATAATTTTCTTTAAACCTTTAATTTCTAGGTAACCATTGTTTTCATTACTTAAAGGGATGATTAGAACAATGTCAGAAATCTAAACATCACAAACCTCTTGAGTGTCTTCTAATTGTTTTTAATCTTACATTTGTCACACAGCAAGCCAGTGGTTTCGGGACATTTTACATTTTAATTAGTTTGCAAACACAATACAGGGTGCTAATTTGATTTTATAGTTTGAGTAACACTCTCATATTTGGTCTGTTCAGAGAAAGAGAAAAGCTGCAGGTTTAAAATCAAAAGTCACATCCTTTTTCTTCCTCCAACACAGGCACATAGTAAAAAAAAATAATATATATATGTGTGTGTGTGTGTGTATATATATATATATATGTAAGTGCATATGGGTGTAAGTCCATATTTGTGTCTATCTAAAAATATGTTTATCTCCCTTTAGAAATATCTCCATCTATCTCCAGCGAAGCACATTCTGCTTATTGAAAAGTACTGCAGAAAGCAATTCTGAAATTGTCATCTGAGGCTAACATGCAAAATCAAACAAAGAGAGAAAGAAATTATTACCCATTCCAGTCGACAAACATCTGCCTGATTTATATCTGTACTCATGAATGCTACAGCATGTGACTGCACACTACGTCGCTGGGAGTCTCGACTTGGTGTGGATGTCAGCCTTACACAAAATGAACACTCAGAGTATTTGCTCTGTGCTTCCAAGTCCCCTCCCCCAGCCACTCTATTACTCATATAAACAGAGATGAGCGGCTCTGCGGGAGCGTGGGATGAGCTCCGAGGATCCAGCGTCAGCTGCCAGACTGCCAGCCCCGGCCACGCCACCCAGCCTTATTCATAAACCCCGCTCAGCCTTTGGTGTATTCCTGGTGCCTGTTTGTTTTTTGGCACATGACCTGGATGGGATGGACAGATCCCGAACCACCGTCTGTGCCAGCAGTTGCATCTTCTTTAAGCAGATACTGAAGAGAACAGTAACGTTCCCTGAGTTTCCTACACCCCGGCCCACAATGTTGAAAGATCGACCTTCGAATGAATGGATCCCCAGGTCTGGCCCAACACATGGCAGAAGCGGGATGTGGCTGAGCAAACATCAAATATACTTGCATATCAATTACTTGTCCTTTCTTTCTTTCTTTCTTTTCTTTCTCTTTAATGAATAAAGAAACTAGTTCAAGGCTCAATGTTTTCCAAACATACCTGTTATCCTGAGTTTTGGCACTCTACTCTGTATCACACTATAAAGCACTGCTAATGTTTTGCTAACAGCTTTAAAAGCAAGAAGGCATTTGTTTCTAAATTCCAGGTATATTGAGCTTGCATATAAACACTGTTTGAATTGGAGCCTTCCACAGCAGAACTGGCACAAACCCACTATGAAATGGGGTATTTGCATTCTCCCCATGGCTCAGGAGTTGCAGTAGGGAAGGTCTGCGCAGCACATACGAGGACCATCCCACATGCCCCATGGTATGACTTTAAATCACCTGAAGCCCTTCCAGATCTGACACACAATTAACAAGAAAGCAGCAATAGGAATTAATACCAGAAGAGAAGGTCCTTGCATCTAGTATCTACTCTGTAGAAGAAAACATTTGACATAGTTCCAGTCACACTTGAAACTAAGCTATTAATATTTGCTCCCTAAATCATTATAAATAAATGCATTATTTGAAGATTATTGCATTTCAGTGACATCCATTTTGTTCTCTAGAAAATATGACTAGGACTGAAGAAATCATTTACAAGTCACATACGTGTTTCAATTTTGTCATTTTTTTTGTTTAATTTCTGACATATTCATGAGCACACTGCAAATGTCTTGAATTTGTTATTCATAATTATTTTGAAGCAATTTTACACACATGTTGTGGCTTAGTCTCAGTCAGTTTTCATGATGACATTGTATGCTTAGTATTTACTAGACTGCTAAGTGAGTATCCTATGTTATTTTTCTGTTTTCTGGTGGAGAAAGACTTCTGGCATGACTACCTGAGAATATCTGAAACGATTCAATTTCTTCACATGTTTGTGCATATGGCTTTCAAAATCATTTTCTGAAAGCATTTGTGGCAGTGAGACCTGATAACTTGCACATTTCCAGAAGGTGAGAACATAAGCAAAGCAAATTAAAGTACAAAATGAATACATAAGTACAGAAGAAAGTTTGCATTTATTTGCCACCTCTTCAGTCTGAGTGCCTGTAACAGGAGTATGAGAGACACAGGACAGTACCAGTTAAAAAACTTCCTTTCCTGTGCATTTGACAACATGTTTGCCTTTTGCCAAGGTGTGGTGTTTTCCACCCTTGTTTCCTTCTTTTTGCTTCCTATTGTATCTGAAAGAGGGGAAAACTCAGCCACTGAAACATCTACTGGGACCCCTGATGGGCTGCTGGGAACTTGTTTTGCCTCTACTCAGGTGTGATTAAAAGGATCAGTACTAGCATAGCAGAGCTGTCCTGTACACTGAAGTTTTGCTGACTCAAGGAGCCTCTTCTCGGGATCACAGCTCATCCCAAATTTGCTAGTCACCACAAAGGGCATGTTCACTTAGAACCAAGTAAAGCATAAGACATTGCCTTCCCTGTGCTACAGCAATCTAGAGCCCAGCCGGGAAAGCCATTTCACCTGCTGAGTCCTGGCAAACATTTCAGGTACGACCAGGTAAAACACAGCTACTGCAAAATACACAGTACAAGGTAACTCTACTTGAGTCCAGGAGTCCACAGATCATGGCTACAACCCCGTAGTGCCAAAGCACCAGCAATACTCTACGTGTTTTTACTACAAACTGTCACTCCTGAGAGGTTAATGCAAAGCCCATGTCATGCACAGCACAAGGAGTTAGATTATCTGTACACGTAGATTGGCATATCTTTGCTGACTAAAACGTACTCTAGTAAGAAGCTGTCCTGGTGCTCCCAAAGCCTGTTCTTGTGAGCTGCCTACAGACTACAGCAATCAAACAAGGACAGTCCAGAGGCATCTCTGCACAGAAATAAAGACCAGGAATCGCAGAGAAGCTCAGCTCAGCAGCTCTGACTCCCAGAGTAAGAGAGGCACACAGAAAAGAGAGGAGCTCATGGTTAATCTGCTCAAACTAGCTAGATGTTTCCTCAAAGCTAGATGTCCTCTCTGTTCATGAAGCCACGAAACAGCATCATTGCTCAAAAATTACATCTTCCCCTCCAACACTCACATCACTCTGTGCAAACATCAGGATATTTTAGGTGATCAGGACCGGCCAGAAAGAGCAGAAGGCAGCAACCACCCTGCCCACTTACTCTGAAAACTTATAAGGTTGTGGCCACTGCTCTCCTGTCACTACCACCCTCAGTTATTCAACTCTCACATGGGAAAGAGGAGCATTTCTAAATCTCACCACCTACAACAACTCCTGGCTCTGGGTCTAACCCAAGGAAGTCAAGTCCTACGCAGGTGAAAGAGAAGTACCCAAAAATGTGAGCTGCCAAGGTCAGCCATGATTAAACACTACCTATGGTGGAAAAGCATAGGCTGCCAGAAGAAGAGAGCACCTCCACCTGCCACCTTCTTTTCCTGCATCCCCAGGGTGGGGAAGTGATTACTGGGCTTACCCTGTTATCAAGTCAACCTCCCTTGAGCCACATCCATGCCAAGAATGCCACGTACTAGAGGCACAAATAAGTCAAGAGACAATGACTGTGGGTTTGGGGTACCTGACTTTAGCAGGTCAGTTACAGTAAAACTATCTATTTTTTAGGAGTCTGATTATCACTGGAACTCCAGTGAGTTCAACCCTCACAATAACACTGGAGCATATATTTTGGCTAATGCAAAAGATGTGTTGTTATAGGGAGGGTGTTAAAAAAAATAGTGGCCTTCACACAGCTGAGGTCAAGCTATGTTGGCACTCCGTCAAAATCAGTGGTGTAGCCAAGAGTTTTTAATGAGCCTGGAATGCATTACCTCATTTGTCATACCTGGATCACTTACTCATGCTGAGCCCAAAATAACCTTGGACCTTGTTGGCTGCTCAACAAACCATGTAAGTA